TAGGTAGCTTCTTTACTTCAGCAGCAATCACTCCAAATTCACACATATATAGCAAACAACACTTTAGGTTTGTAACTGGAGGTGGGGGAGTGAAGAAATCCAGCCCTGAATCAATATGAGGATGAAAAGAGATGGAAAAAAATTTAAGTAGTCTTTTTGCTTTCCTAGAAGAAAAAAAAAAAAAAAAAAAAAAAAAAAAAAAAAAAAGCAGAACATTATTTTGAAGGACCTGTGAACAGAAAACAAGGAAATAACACAGCATGTCATTTGATATAAAAATATGCACTGTTCTAATAAAATAAATAAAAAAAACCCACTAAAACACCAAGAGAAAACCATTGCTACAAATTCAGATCTTTAATTAAAAACAAAACCAGTACACATTACTGCAATCCCCAAAGAGATCTGAGATTTCTAACCAAAAGTTACCTCCTATGCCAATAAAAAAAGGCACATAAGTATATAATACTTATTATACACGTTAGCAACTGTTGCCCAGCAATCTTCCGCCCCGTTTCCCACTCACATGAGTTCTGGAAGAAAGTACCTCCCAGGCTGGAATTGGGTAGAATCTAAGTGAATAACTCACATCCCACATCCTCTAGGTGAGGTACGTAGCACTTTCTACTTCCAAATCTTAACTGTTTTGAACACACTGTCCAATAATACTATTTTGAAGTATTTCAGATGAGGGTCCGTAAGACTTGCTCTAAGATTAGCATGATATCCAACCTTTCTCTGGAAGCCCAGTCACGCTGCTAACCACAGCCTTAGGGAGCACAGTTTCAAGACTTCAGAAGCATCGCATACTGACCACGTTTCATAGGATGCAAATGCACACATCTGCCACTCCCTGAGAAGTGGACAGAAAACCTACACATGGGAACTTGAGGTGTCTGGACTTCACACAGGAAGGTTTTAACAACATATAGTGTCTGCAGGGGATGGCATCTGTGGTTGGTTGACCTAGGCAGGCTGCCAGCCAACCACCCAGCTGTTCTCTCATTCCCCCTTCTTAGCAGGGATGCTGGAGAAAATAAAATTTAAAAGCTCATGGGTCAAGATGAAGATAGAAAGATTAATTACCATCACAGGTAAAACAGACTCAACCCAGAGAAAATGAATTTATTTTACTGCTAATTAAAATAGACCTAGATGGTGAGAAACCAAGGCAAGAACTAAAGCAGCTTCCTTGCACCCTGTTTCTTCCAAAGGCTCAACTTCATTCCTTCATTCTGAACTCCTCTGCCTCCTGCTTCCCACCTCTCAAGTGGCACAGGAGGGATGAGGAATGGGATTGTAGTCAGTCTATAACAGTTCCTCTCTGCCACTCCTTCCCCCTCGTGCTTTTCCCCTGCTCCAGTATGAGTCCTCTCCATGGGCTACAGTTCCTGCCAGGAGAATCTGCTCTGGCGTGGGCTGGCCATGGGCTGCAGGTCACTCAGGGCATATCCACGTGCTCTGACATGGGCTCATCTACAGGCTCCCGGGGAATATCCGCTCCTGCACCTGGAGCAGATCGTTCCTCTCCTCCTCCGACCTTGGTGTTTGCAGGGCTGTTTCTCACACTTCCTCACTGCTGTACAGCATTTTGCCCTTTCTTAGGTACATCTTCCCAGAGGCACCACTTGCTCCACTGATGGACAGCTGTCCTGAGGTGGGTTAGTTGCAGAGCCCCTGACCTTTTCTCTCACAGGCCACTCCTGCAGACCCCTTCCTACCACAACTTTATCACCTACAACCAATACAATATGGTAGGGAACCAATCTGGGGAGAAAACAAAATACAACAAATCAAGCCAACAAGCAAACCCAAAAAACAAGCAAAACCGCCCACACCACACTGAAGTCTACAAATGAAAAAGTTTCATTAACGCTAGCAGATGCTGGATTGTGCCTACGGCCTACAAATAGGTCTACTTAGCCCAAATTCCAAAATAATCAACTCCACTACTAGTCCGAGGAAAATAAATGTCCTTAAGGTGTCTAATAGGTTATTCTGCTGCAACCAAATACAATAAAGTGGAGGAATAAACACATTTTTTCCCTACACTGAAAATGTACTGCCAGGCTACTTAAGATTTACAGCACAGGTAAATCAGGAAGCATCCTTTACAATTTCATAGAGAAAATTCTTATACAAGTAGTATAATTTATGTACATTTGAACTAGGATGAGAGTTTGTCATTAAACTACAGGCATCTGTATATGCAGACATGCACATGCCCCTGACAGCAATTAATGAATAGCAGTAAATCAGTCTTCATTTCATGACAGTGACTTCCGGAGTTAACTGTTCGGTGTTCAGATGAGCTTCTAAAACATCTGAGCTGCTTGACACAAAGGAAAAGTCATAAGCCAAGTCAGGTTCCAGCAACAAAAATAGGAACATGGCTTCATAGGTGCTGTTCTGGGCACATCTTTCACACACTACATTACTTGAATTAGCAAAGGTTCCAGCAGGACATTAAAAAGCAGAAAACTGGCAACTACATTTATTAAGATGCTTAATAACTTTTACAATAAGGCTGGTTTGGGTTATTATAGTGGCAAACTACATGCACAAAATTCAAACTACATTTTCCTACAGATTTCCTATGTCAAGAATCTGTTTCAGATAGGATGGGGATGCCTGTTCATTTCTACAATGAGATAAGAAAGAAAAAAAAAAAAAACACCACAAAAACACAAACCCACACAGAACACAGGGTACACTCCCTTCTGTCCTCACAGCACACAAATTGCTTTGGTTTTACTTAGTATGCCTATAAATTACATCCTCTGAAACAGGGATTTGTGATTCAAGGGAGATCTGTCTTTGTCAGAGAAGCTATCCTTTACAGTACCAAACAGATGAAGCCTCTGAAAATGACCATTTTACAAATTCCTAGGATATAAGCTGACTAGGAAGTGCTACATCATTTAGTTTTATCTATTGTAAGACACTGCCCTTTAATTACTCAGTGGTCTCTATACTGAGTCTAGTGAGATGTGACATTTTAAAACTGAGCACCCGCTATTTCTCACCATACTTAGGTTTCAGTGGCCACTCATCCTGCAATCATTTGAATTTTACTGAATTTAATTTCCAAGGTTTTTTTCTTATTATGACCTCCCGAATTAATGGAAGTACCTGATAAAAATCACCTTTTGAAAACACTCTGACATTAATCAAGTCAGTCTTTTTGATAAGCTAAAAGTTTACCCAATTTCTGGTTTCTTCATTAACTTCTGGAAGTTTTGAAAACTTCAAACAAGGAAACAGGAATGAGTTAAAGTTTTCTAGCACTGACCTAGACATGTAGATAAAAATCACCCACCTATTTAACTGGTTTAGTCAAACCACAGTATTTCAAGGAGAACCCATATTTATTTAATGCAAGCATAAATTATTTCATTAACAAGCCATTTATTTGTGTCTCAGCCTCCAAGTTTCTCAAAATCCAACTTTGCCTTTAAACAGCCTGCGTGGACGTAGCAGGTTGGTTGATTTGCTGGTCCAACTGAAAGTCCATCACTACATTCATCTGCACGTTTAAACAAACAAAAAAAAACCCCAAGAAAACAAACAAACAAAAAACCCACCAAGAAAACCCAAACCCACACCTCAAAAAACAACCACACACCATATGAACATGAGAACTAATCCACACTAAACCCTCTAGTACAGTAACATTAGTTCCCTAAATTTCCAGGGCCAAACTGATAGCTACATTTGATTTCAGCAAAACTCTCCTACTCCTCTCTTCACAGCTGCAAAGTTGATAAAAATATTTCCTGAAACTGTTTCATAAAATGCCAGAGGCTCCCATGCAAATAGGATGCTTAGAGGAACATGGAGTAGAAGAGAGTAGTTTGAAACTTCAAGCCCTTTACTAAAAATAGCATCTGCAAGTCACACAGCAGAACGATAATGTAAGAGAGTGTGACAAAAGGGTGGCCGTGAGCTTGCTTTCACCTGCAGAAGACTTGTTGGTCCTTTCACCACCCAGGGGAATTCAGCCATATGAAACTCAAGCCAGAGAAACCTTTATATCATACTGTCTCATTTTGTTTGCATACATACAGAAATCTATCACATGCTCCCGAGCAGTGCTTTGAAAGCAAATACTGCTTTAAAAGTGTACCATATGTGCACATTCATCACTATATTAAAACAAGCCACTATATCACATTGAAAAATCTTTCAAATAGAATATACAATCTGTCACCAGTACTGTCATTTCTGTCCGATTGCTGGTCCATACAGTACAAAAATATCCTAGGATCCAACTATAAAATAGTTACTGTTAACAGGTAAGCATCTCAAGCTTCATACTACCCCCTAATTCTTTACAATTCAGTGCTATTTTCAGGCCACTACAGAAGCAGTGTTATAATATTAGACAGAAAAGGTAAGAAAAAGAGTAATTCTACACTTAGTGCTTGTTCCTTCCAGAGGATGAGCGGCCTCAACTCCTAATAAAGCCAATGCCAAATGAGGGCACTCCGCAGCTCCCGCAAAACTTCCACCGTGTGTCAGGGTCAGACACTATTTTAATAGGCCCTTCACTTTAGTCATTTAATTGCTCTTTACAACAAAGCAAGACAAAATAACACCACTCTTCATAACAAATTTAGTTACAAAATCGCACTGAAAAATTGCAGTAGGGGTCTGAAATTGCATCTTGAATATTACCACTACACCTCTTTAGCTGTGAGATTTTGCTTTCACTATTCCAGTGGATTTGGTGGAATAATTCTGGATTTAGACCTGTGTGTTATGAGCAGAACCTGGCCATAGACTATTTATGATTCAGCTAAAGGATGTTGGTAACATGAATGCCTAGTGTTATAGAAAGCAAACAATAGATTTTTTTTCCATCTCCACTATTCTAATAAAAGTGATTTTTTTTTTTTGTCCCTAAAAGCACAATGCCAATAGCTATCATGAAAAAGGATTACTCAAATTCTCACAGATTAGACTAACGCATCAAGAAAAGCAGTAGGAAAATGAATTACCTTATTTTTCATTAGAAAAAGCAGATTTCCTTTTAGTCGGCACCATCTCTCTCTCGGTTCTGTATGCAAAGAAGTAAAAGATTAATAAAAACAACCTTTTGTCTTCACACATTAAATGCTTCTTAAAGAAGATGCATTAGCTATAAAGGTCAGAAAAGAAAATCATTAACAACCAAAAAAAAAAAAAAGCCAGCTTCACTCAGCAGCTGCCTATGTACAACATGCTGTTAAATGCCAAATAACTTCCCAGAAGGTTTCTTCTACTCTGCAGCTGAGAGAATTGGTGACTGCGGCATACACTCAACAGTGTTTTCTCTGCTTTTCTCCCTTTTCCTCACATGGGAGCAGAAAGAGACACTTCAGCGTGGAAGAGCTTTTGCTTCCATCATTTTGAGATAAAATATAATCCTTGTTAAAACACAAAAACATTTACTATTCCACTTAGATTAGAGCATGCTAGTCTGAATTTATAATTTTCAGAAAATAATAAATGAACAAATGAGACCTAAATATTTACAGTCACTTTGCTATTACTATTTTACTGCACTTTTTAGAAGTGCTTAACCAATGGGAATAACAATATATTTGTGTTTATATACACATACAGGCATGTAATGAAACTTTCAAGAACAGGGAATATTTTAGAACTTTAGGGTCAGTGAGTGGGGCAAACAACTTTTAAAAAGTTATTCTTCCTAAACTAGCCACTTTTTAAATTGCATGATTTCTCTACAAAAAAGCACTCGTGTATATATCTGTAGGTACAGACAGACACAGAAATCTATTATAGACATATACAGATAAAGATCTCAGACAAACACAACATCTTAAAGGGGGAAGGAACATATTTACACAAGACATTCTTTTTTGTTTTTTACAGGGCACATGAAACCCTGTGTCGCCAGACAGCAGCCAACTTCGAATTGCTAGAGAGCTAGAAGAACAGCTGTACCTTAAGTTCCTATTATTCCACAGCTGCCTCTTTGGAACTCTTGTACTTCCTCAGAGCTGGCCACCAGTAGAGACATAATATTCACCAGGGGGATGTCTTGTTACAGGAAATAAGTAAATAAAATTCTCTTTTCCTCTTGATAATTTCAATTAAGATGTTTCAACAGGCAACATTTGAAAATCAGAAGAGCTTTTCCCCACAAGGAAGTGGAAGGTTTACACCCACAGGCGCTGGGACTTACAGTAACTGTTCTTAGTTATAACCTCGGGGTTGGTTGGTTGGGTTTTTTTTTTTTCAGGAAAGTGAATGGAATTTCTGGATCCTGCCAGCCCTACTAAAGTGTAAGAACATTATAGAAAAAAAATTTAATATAAACTGATGCTCATCCACCAACTAAAAATCTAAACACAGCTATCAGATCCGAGTATGTTGGTTTATACAAGTACAGGACTCCGCTAAGACTAAATTCCATCCTTCAGAGCCCTGCAGACATCAGAAGGAAGGAATCCTATCACATTCACACTGCATCTTTTTCCATTAAAAGGTATTTTTATATAGGATTAGGGAAGTCACTACCTCATAAGGGTGAAAAAGAAGCAAGTGCAAAGACTAGTTGGAGTAACTAAAAATGACAAGTCTGTCAGTGGATACAGCGACCAAAATGGCTCAAGAGAAATGGCTCTTCTCTCAAGGGGGCATGATCTGATTGCTGGGAGCCAGAAGGATTTACTGGGTACTAGGAACATCCTACACATGCACAGTTTCTTAAACACTGACCTAGCATCTACCACCACTGACCATGACCAGATAGCCCACAATACCGGGCTAGATGAGTGTTTGGTCTGTCTCTGGTCAACCTAAGGTGTTTAGCATCAATATTAGCACTCAACATACTCTTAAGTGAAGAAAAAATTCAAAACATCCTCACAAACAACAGATAGTCACTGTACACAGCTTCATATGCTGCCTACAATGAGAAGGAGGGAGAGAATCCCTTTGAGGAACTCCAAGGCAGACAGAAGTGGATCCTCACTAGTACTCTAAGAAGTTTGCTGCATCCTCCACTGGAAATATTTGTTATTAGAAATTGTATAAAATATTCTGAAGATGTGGCACAAAATTTTCTCGGACCCTTATCATAATCGAGTCTGTGCTGGTTTCAGGCTGGGTTCTTTTTCTAATAAGATAAAAGTAAATACAGTCACAATGAAGGTCAACTGGGACAGGTGAAAATAAAACATTTGCCATTGCTGAAATGATTGTATTAGGCCAGATTTTACAGCTAAACAGGAGCTATTTCTTAACAGCTACCGAGGGAATAAGACATTTATTCAAGCTTACTGGAAATTGAAAGACATTTAAAATATGATCCTAAAAGCCTGAAGAAACCTGAAAAGGAGGTGAGAAGTGAGCCATGGAAAATCTATAATGATAAAAGAACGCAGGTTTTGAGGGTGGGAGGGGTGGGTCGTGAAGAACCAGATATCTAAACATTAAAACATGGCAACTAATTACTGGTGACTAGCAATCACTAGCAAAAAAAAAAAAAAAAAAAAAAAAAAAAAAAAAAACTCACATACATGACAACAGAAACTTGAGCAAAGAGCTGACTTCTAGCTCCTTCATTTAGAAAGGTATTTAGCACCACTCAAGCATAAGTAATGAAGAAAACTGAGGTGTATGTGATTAGTGAAACTGTATAGCTGACAACTGCAGAAAACATGCGCATCAACCACATGTAGTTTTCAGTGCAAGTCATTTTTACCTATTAATTTTTCATCCCCGACCACTCTGCAAATCTTCAGTCTTCCTTCCTTGTCAAAACAACCTGATGGTCGCCTGGCCAGCAAAGCCAGATCTTTAGCATTGAATCTCATGGGGTTGCCAGGGAAGAGGATGAAGATGAATAAGATGGAGGAGGACAATGATGATAGTTAGTTTGTTGAAGGTGAGCAAAATCTAGGCAGCAGATATGAAGGTCCACTGAAATATTAAAAACAAAAAAGAAAACAAGAGATGCTGCTGTTTATTGTGATTTCCACTCCGCTGTGCGCTCCTAACACTGTTCTTTCATAGTAAGGGAGCAGTGTAAGTAATTGGGGAAAAAAAACAAGGTTACATAGGTGACATCTCCCCACGTACTTTTTAAGAAAGAAAAATGTCTGTCTTTGCAGTGTCTCTATAACCTCATGCAGAAGCTGTAATTTTAAGCAGTATTTCCACAGTTTGTCAATACTGCTAAAAATATATTTTGACTATAGGCATATAAATAACTAAAAAGCTCAAATATGCATTCATGGGGCAGAGGCAGGGGACAAGATTGCCTTGTATTTTCATCTCCTTCACAAGAACAGTAACTCTTATAGTTAATACTTTGTATTTTATTCAAGTTCACCACATACTCAAGTATTCAAGTTTTGCTCTACTGACACTGATTACAATGCTGAGTGCCTTCCCTTTTGTTCATGGTATATTCTAACAGTTTTCAGTTCTTTTGGAAGGTTTTCTTCTGTGTTTTTAGGAAACAAATCGTCCCTTGGCCAAAAAAAACCCCACCCCAACAGTTTTCATGTATCAGAACTACATCTACTGAACTTAGTGAAAAAATACTTGACATACACACAAGAGATCTTTGTTTCTCTCAGAGGCCCTCTCCGTTTGCCTAATATTAATATATGTTCAGATTCAGTACCTGTAATTTTGACCAATGTAAGTTTGAAAACAAATTGCAGTCAACAGTACCATTTCACACTGCTGCGAGGATGAGAGACTAAGGCCAGAAAAGTAGTTCTAAACAGCTCTTCCTTTTAATCACCAAAATATTCTATGCTCTTAATATCCAACCCTTTTGTAAATGCCTGTCTCAGAAAAGGGTTCTTGGTATCCCCCTTATAACAAGTAACAGAAGTTCATCAAATGGCTTTTAATATTCCTGTACACTTAAAAAAAAAAAAAAAATCATCGCAATCCTCAGTACATGGGCTTCAGAAGCCAGTTTCTGTCTCTGAATCAGAAGCCTTTGTTCTTCAGAAGACAGCACTGACATCTTCATCTGATGGAGAGCTACAACTCTTAATTCTAATCTAGTTCCTCTCTATTGTTGAGATGAAGGACAAGTTACATCTTCCGCGCTGTATCTTTCTGTGGGACTTTCATTTCTATTTTTCCCTTTATATTCACTTTCTTTGCTCAAGTTTATCCCTCAGTCAATGACTGCTGCTGTGTCCTTCAATTTCCAATTGCCAAACCACAGCCAACTCTAACAGTACTACAACAGTGAAAGCAGACCAAGCTTCACTATTACTTTGTACATATGAAATATGGCTGAGCCATAAATATGACATTCAGAAGACAAATCTCCAAGTAATTTTTCCCTCCTAGGAACATTGTACAATCCTATGGAGAACTGCCATGAAGCTAAAAACTCTTTTAAGCTTCCCTTTCATTATCAAATACCCTTGTAAACAAGAGATTATGTGCCAGTAGTCTCAACATGCATCTAAAGGAGGAAGTTACAGCTTCAACTTCTCCATTCATTCCCACATATATACCTTCTTTCTTGTTTTTCCTTTAGCATCAGCAGCTATACTTCTTTTTTTAAGTCCACCTTCATGCCTTTGACTCCGTTTCATAATCTCATTGAAATTATAACCTCATAACTTTATGGTCATCACAGAATTTAGCCTGAAATTTACAACATACAAGGATGCTGCTGTGTCCAAAATGAGCTTCTTCACCTCAATGGAGGCTCCATGTCAGTGCAGCTGGCTGCTTCTATTTTGTAAATTGATAGGCTACAACTGTGGAAAGATGAGTCATACAGCACTTACAAAACACATATTTATCATACACTGTAATCTAATACTAAAAAGCATATTAAGCATTGAAGACCAAATCCCTCAGGGGGGGCAGGAGCAGGAGAAGATGCTGGCTTGGCCACACAGTACACAACCCAGCCATGATGACCCTTACAAAAGGCTTATTAGGGCATGAAGGGATGTTGGGACTGGCAATATGTATATTCCTACTAACCTCTGTATGCCAAGTGGAATTAATTGTTGGTTTTGTTTTACAGCCACAGACTGTATTTCTAACAGAGCATACAGTGTTTGCTATAGACCTATTCATTAAAAAAAAAAAAAAACAAACCAACAAACAAACACATACAAACATAAGCTTGGCAAGGTAAATAATTTCTGTGATCTCAATCTGTGCGCTGTTTTGTTATGGGATGGTTTCCTCTCAGGCAGATACCTTGCACACCTTTCACCTAGCTCATGGTAGCCTTTTCTTGTTTGAGAGAACACAATTCTAGAAATACAACTGCAACCTACTTAGTTATTGGTTTGCGGACTAATCAGTTCTAGTCCATTTTATACACACCTATAAATCCACCCTCAACATTATCTTCAACTACATACATTTACTTCAGATTGCTTCAGTCTTTCTGAGTAGCATGAAGGAAGTCAGACCCTATGAGTCTGGTCCCAGATGGAAGAGTCATTGAAAACCAGCAACAACTGAATAAAACCTATGCTATCAAAGCAAGGAGGGTTACTGGCTAAACTAATTATGCTTAAATGCAGTAATTACTGTAATGTATGGACATCTGAACTCCACAGGGACCAGCAGAATGCTGAAAACCAGGGGATGAGAACAGTTGTAAGCTGCTATTTGCTGTCAGCTTCTGCTTTCCAGCAAAGGAAAAAACAGAGCCAGGTAAAAAGAACATTTTGGGTTTCTGGTAAAGCTATTAAAAGGAATAAAAGAAACTCCAGGAGGAGATGTGCATACTGATTTCGTTATTTCTTTCCTCTCCCTCCCAAGGGAGGTGGTACATCTCTTCTTGCACTTGTCTGTCAATAAAGTGATAATGGTCTGGAAATTCTTTTTACCATATCTGTGTACCACTTGCTTTACATGTGAGCCGTAACACGTGAATCACATGGGACAGTAAGAGTGGCACACAACAGTTAAAACCCTTGAGACAGGATGCTTCATGACATATAAGTCAGTATCAGTCTTGAAATGCAAGGCAGCTGGGACCGCAGAGTGCCACACTGATAATAATCAAGGTGTCTGTTCCCTGGAAGTTTGCCAGAGAAGCTAAACTAATCTGACAATGTCTGAATATTATTCAGACCTAAAAGGCATAAGAGATCGTAGGACTCAAACGGGTTTAATTTAGAAACTTGATGACCATCCAAAGGCAAAGCACAGACAGTGTTGACACAACAATAAAATTAAAGGTAAAAAAACCCTGATAGAGGTGTCTATCTTCAACTGCAGCACAGGGTCTCCTTCAAAGAGCAGAAAGACGTTTTAGCTCAATAATCCACTTCTCTTCTGTCTCCATTTCGGAATAAAACTGTCAGTCAGGGAAACTACTTAGTCATATAGTGCTTTTAAATGTTTCTCCTAGCTAATCTCTTTCCTAGCATGAACTCAGAAAGGAAAGATATTATCTTCAGTTATTTAATACTGGTGGTTCAAGAGTCAGGCATTATTTAATACTCATGGTTAGAGAAAGGCATGCTGAATCCAAAGTCCCTCTCAACATTTTTCCCCACACAATCATCACAAACATAATTTATAAGGAAATCAGACCAGTCAATTACTTTGCAAGTGGCCAGGAGAGAAAGAGGTGCACGAGTCTGTGTCCTTGGAAGCAATAGTTTTAGGACAGATGACAGTTTTGACACCTCATGGACCACAGAATTTATTAAGTCTCTCTTGGCTGTCCGCTGTCTCCCTGCATTTGCAATCACGGTTTTCACGATCGCTTGCTATGGACATGGAACAATCAGAACTATTCGATTGACGTGATGACTGAAGAATAGCTGAGACATATTGTAACTGTTAAGTACCAGCCATATAGTTGTACATTTTTGATTATCGCAATGACAGAAACATACATTTTTTTCATCACTTGAATAGATGTAAACCCACCTCCTACCCCATACATAAATGTTAGAAGTCAATCAAAATTAATAGTGTGTTCAACTTCTATCATGCAAGACCTGCACAAAATTGTCTTCAGCACATAAAACTAGCATGAAAAAAACTACACATTGAAACAATTTGCAACTGATCTCCAACTCTTGCACCTTGCAGGACAGGTACTAAGGCGTATTTTATTAGTCCTGGATAACCACCAAACTGTAGCTGTTCAAAGCAGTAAATGCAGGAGGTCACAAGTGCCAATATGAAAAGAGAGTAACCACCTTCATGGCTGCACATACCATCCTGAAACACTTTCAGACCTAGCTTTAAGGTTCCAAATTTTTTTTTATGTATCTTAAGCGTAGTTCAACATTAAAGAAATTAGCACGTAATACCTTACAGCTTTCATTAGTACTGCAATAAATTCTAGATATTTTGGTAAGGTGTTAAAACACAAGCTTTCTAATGATGCAATCTCCTAAACCTCTAAAACTAAGTCAAGAAAACTGGCGGCCCAATTTAACTAATTTAGGAATTTCAAAAAGAACAACACTAGAACTCATGTCTGCAAGTCCTCAGAGACCCTACCAAATACATTCTAAATTTCCCTTCTCTTCCTTTGAAAATGTACAGTATTTTTAGTTTGCATCATTTTGTAGTAAGAACTTCTTTAATCTTGGGAACACACACAGCACAGGAAACAGCCTTCAAAAGGAAGGCTGCAAAACTAGTCCACAATTTTGTCTTCAAGAATTATATTCTTTTTAAGCAAAGAGTTATTGCTAATTCTACATACTGTCTCTTTATTTCACCCATAAATTAATAGGCCATAAAATATAAATAAGACACATTATGCCCTCCCTTTAAAATTCTCTATCACCGATCCCTGCACAGTCAAACAAAATACTAGGTTTTCTGTCTTGGCTTGAGGAAATAAGAGTAGAATGAAGAGTCACCAGAAAGAATTAATATATGACAGGAGTTTCAACAATGAGCTATACTGATATATCTAAATGATAAGTTTGAATATCTAAACTCTATTTAAGTTTTACCTTTAAAATAATTAACAGGTGATCAGATGATTAGGGAAGAAAACTGTCCTGGCTTACATAAATTCAGCGACTCTATTCCAGAGAAGTTTCCAGAGCTTCTGCAGACAGCAACCTTAATAAAAAGGGATACAACAGTAGGGGAACATGTCTTCAACAGAATCTTCTTTTTAGTTGTGTTGTTTGGTTTGGTTTTTTTTTTTTTTTTCCCACTGAGCTAAGATGAGCAAGATCTATATACCAAGTATCACTAAATGCTAGGTTATCTAGTGAATGTATCTATTAGCAGTGCGAAGTTACTGCCTTCTATATGAAGTCAAAGATGCATATCAGCTGGCTGCATGCAGTCGAGCTAGCTGATTGTACCCATGGAAAATTTCAGTTTACTTCTAACTTGTCATTCTCCTCACTTCTGTCTCCCGGCTATCTTATTTCCTACTAGCAAGATCAAAGCTAGGCTGCTCATACATAGTTTGTAATTTTCACTTATACTTTGGTAGGCTGTCAGGAATGTTGTAATCTATTTGAACAGATTATAACTTTAAACTTGTTCCAAATGTTGCTTCCTACCATTTATCAGCCATTGTGGCCTTCCAAAAAAAATAACAATAAAAAAAAATGACAGACCTGCAATATTCAGCGAGTTAGTAAGCCGTGCCACTTCATAGGACACCCTTTACTGAACTTTCCTAGTTTGCATAAAACAACAGTAACCTAAAAAGACAATTTTGAAATTTGTTTTGTGTATAGAGGGAAGGTAACAGAAACATGAAATAGTTATCTGGGTTTTTTTCCCAGTAGTACCAGTGGTCATTTGAATTTTATTTCACTTTGAAACACACATACACACACCATACTGTAAGAACTTTTATGCCTTTATTGCCCCCAAGTTCTCAGGTCCATCACCCATAGTGCCCTAAAAAAAAAAACCCACACTAAAAAAACCCCACCACAAACCAGCATAGGAGCTCCAGCCAACAAGACTCTCCTTAACTAGAGCCTGCCTTCTTCCAAGGGAGTCATGACCTTGCAATGGGGTAATACAGAACCACGTAAACCAAAGAGCACTCTTGTATCAGTATCTCTACTATCTGCAAGTCCATTTTAAAGCCTTAAAAATAGCAAGATTTGAAAAGCAAAGCATCTATTGAAAAAAAGCTGCGAGAGGTTAGCTATTCTATTTGGAGAGAGACAGTAAAAAATAAAATGCTGGCTTGGCTTGAAAGTTATTCTCTTCAGCTGAAAAAAAAGCAATCCCACAGAACAGCTTTGTCTTCCCTTCAGCTGACAGACTCTCCAGTCAAGTAAATTCTTAAATGATTCATGTAGTTTCCCAGAGTTCAGATATGACCTTTCAGAAAGAAAAGATATTCTTGCATCTTGCTTCCCCTAAAAAGGGATAATACAATTAAACACTTACTGCAGACAGGTATAACCTGGCACACCCACTGAACAATGTACTTCCAGCTACTGATACTGATCCTACTGAAAACCAGCTCTGTGACAAGGAAGTCATTTATCGGTTGTGGGAGTTGCCCCATGTGGTTCACAGCCTGACAGACTGAACCACGCAAGGCAGAGGACTGAACAAGAACAAGACTGCTGCTTTTGCCAGCACAGTCACCTTGCCATGAGTCAGTGTTCCAACTGCAACTTCCCTCCGGCTGTGTTTGGGCAGCCCCTGACCTGGCAGAAGGGCAGGCTCCTGGGGAAAGGAAGCCCTTCATCCCCAGGGCATGCTGGTGTCACCTCACAGTCAGCTTAAGGAATTTACCTTGATGAAAGCCAAACTAATCAAGCTGTTCCCTGAACAGACTGGCTGCTGAAATGCCAGTGCCAGCCCAGCACAGAGGACAAAAATGTGCACCCACAGGTAATCCCACTGCAGATGACCACAGAAGTGTCAGTCAGCTTAGTGAGGTGGTATAACTGCAGCCTTAGGACAAAATTCACATATAAAAACCTTCATAGTCCTTTAACAAAATTTCTGGCAAATCCAAAATTAATCCATGAGCTTTCCTCTAATCTCCAACTATACTTTCAAGCAACACTGACTTAAATTCCTCTTTCTCCCATGCCTGCTCAGGTGGCTGCCTGCCGAGGCACACTGCCTGCCTTCCACTGCTGAAGAGCACAACTGCACTGGCTAGAACTTTTCCTTGGGCCAGCAAGAAAACTGGATTATGAAAGTTATCTACTTTAAAACCAATGCTTGAAAATAAATACTAGAAGATTAAGCCAGTCTTCCAAAACCCTATTCAAAGGTGACTGCATCAATTAGTGTTCCAAAGACACCAGCTACACACACGACTGTTAATATGAGTTCAGCCACTACTATGATGACAGCCATGGTTTCAGAGCAAGAGGTCTCCAGCTAAGTATTAGCATTTCAGTCCCTACTTAGTTACAAATTTATTTACACAGCAGATTCCTTTCTCTAGTCTCCAGGAATGTAAATGCACGAACCTTTTGTAACCTGCCATTTCAAACAAAACCAGAACAAAACCCCAAAGCAAACCTGAGTATAGTTACAGCTCCATTCAGTAGGAGCTCCTACACACATGGCAGTAGGCAAACCAGTCTGGTGGAGGTAGTGTGCTGGGACCACTGATCCCATAAAGAATGGGGTGAGGGCAGGACACACTAACCACTTTCAAAAAAATACTGCTCTATATTAAAAACGGCAGTGTTCTCCATTCTGCAAGATACAGTACCTGGGTTGCAAGATACAGTACCTGGGTAGCAATAACTGCAACTTTTGCCTCTAGAAGACTTATTTCCTCTCTCTTCCAGTATCTATAAAGATGCAAAAGGTAGAAGCAAACTTAAAATACAACAGTGTTATAACATGTTTTACTGGTCATTTTCACTATAACAGAGAAATTACTGTATTAAGACTGTGGCTTGTACTCTAAGATATGCAATTTTTTTAAACATATTATTTTTTAAATCTTCAAAAGTTTGCAGTCCCCAGACAACCTTGAGTTTCTTAACCGTTCTTTGCTTTGCACCATACTCTAGAACCAAACAACTTGGACAGTCTTGACATCTATATTGACAGAAAAAAAAAAAAGAAAAAAAAAAATCACATTGCTGAGAAAACATAGTGATGAAAGTTTCTCTGTACTTCTCCCCATCCCCCAAATTTGTGACATCTGGGGCTTATCTAAGCTATAAATATTAAAAAGATTTTAACACAAGTTTGAGAGATTTGGGGTTCATTTGAGTTCTAAAAATACTTTAGCTAGAAGACAACTGAGTCAAGTTACCCACATAAAGTAAAATACAGCATAATATATTTTAGGATTAGAGATACAAAGTACTTGGAACAAAATCCCTTCTCTAAGTTTCACAAAGCTCTAGAGTTCACCACCATTTTTCTTTTTTTGTTATTAACAGGAAAGAACCTCACCCACTTTTCTTAATAGCATTAATTTGTCTTTGGCTGCCTTTTCCCCACAGGATCTTCAAGAAAATAAAGAAGCAATTTTCCTTACAAAAACTCTTTAACACACCCATGAAGACCCAGAAAATGCTTGGATATTGCTATCCCACAGTTAGGCACAGACCATGAATCCTCTTTCTCCTGCACTTTCCAAGAGAAAGAGGTTACTGGGTTTCCCTCAATTATCTCTAAATTGACAGAAGGAAAGCATGGAAAAATAAGGGAGTTAATATTTGATGATGGTATTTAATTTGAATAATTAAAAGTGAACCAAAATACAGGGGGGATGGGAAATCTTTATATGAAGTACATTCCCTACTTAAATACACTGCTTCTGGAAGTTCACAAATATCTGGTTACCTACATTTCTAATTAAAAAGCTACTATCACTGTTGAGAATGTAATTGCTGAACAAATAAATCTAAGAAATGGTGACATAGTGCTGTTATATTAAGGAAGAACAATGAATCATTTTAACTATGTCTCAATAATAATGATTCAATTTCTATATATAATGGAAATCACAGTTCAGCAGAAACTACTATGTCATCTGGGGAAGGGAATATTCAGGGGCAGATGCAAAACAAAAGTTATAGGAGGAAGAAATGCAACAAAACTCATGGAACATTAAAATCACTGAGGATGTTACTGCTTGATGCTGATCTGGCAGCTACAGCAATAACAAGTGATTTATTGACCTTTTGCCTTAAGATCAACAACATATCCTCAATTAGCAGATAGAAATAAAGTATATTTATTTTAAATAATGAATAAGTCATCTCAAGAAGACTTACAAGATTCACATTTTTTTTAAACCAAGCTGCTGATGAAATCTCCCTTAAATTCACCCAAAGTGAAGAGATTAGAAGAACATACAAGGTAGTATTTTAGAATCACAACTTGAATCCAATGCCAAAGGATGATACAGATGATGATCAAGCTCTCCCCACATCCCTATTTCAATTAGGATTAGGACTGTTCAACCTGCGTATTTGCAAGTACAAAAGCTCTCTTCCTTGGCTTATTCCACAGTGACCTCTTTGGCTGCTGATTCTGTGGCTGCAGAATTCCTCACTATTACAACCTGTCAGTGACACAGACACCATGTGTGAAAAGTCCTAACCTACTAACACCTTCTCCTGCAGACAAGGCAATTCAGGAAGTGTAACACTTCACTTAAATTTTCTGTTCTTGAATATCCATCATAACACTACCTGCTTTTACTAATAGGGAACTTTTCACTAGCTGGAAACACCAAGAAAATTTAAAAAAAATGGAAAATAAATGTTATTTTCCAAGTTATTAATTCGGCAACAGAGCTACATATTTTTAACTGGATTTCTGCATACAATTATATGCTCTGTAACATATGACACCCTACTCTCTTCAGCTATAAAGGGTCATGGGCAAATATTTTGCAGATTTTTTTTTTAAACAAACAGTTTACATAGTTGGAACTTACAAATAGCCCAGCTACATAAAACCCACCAAAAATGCATGGGTTTTGATTAAATATCTCAAAGATTAAAAGTTCACAGCAATAACTTTAAGGAAAGTAAGGTTGTTGCAGTTATATACAAAATTCAAGAGTTGGTTTCATAAGATATTCATGCTCCTTAGCTACAGAATTATTTGGTTAAAGAGCCCAT